GGGACTGCGATTCGTCAGCTTTGCTTTCCATCTCACACCAAGGGTACTACCTGGCTCGGCACGCTTCACTATTATGTGCAGTTGGGTGATCTTGACCTCCAAATTGTGGATAGAGGCGGATTTTACAGGTACGGTCGGTTTTTGCACAACGCCTCTGACTCTCATGATACTACCAGTGCGGACATGCTCGGACCAGTGAATCATCAGCGGCCCAACGACTCCTGGCTCCTCCACCAACACACCTTGGATGGTGGAGATTCGCTGTCTGAACATGATGAAGGCCAGTTTCTGGCCCATGTTGCGGTGGTGGTGAATGCGAGCGCGGAAGGCAACTTCCTGGCCGATCATATCCTCTGTCAAGGTATCAACGTCAATACGTTTGTCGGTATTGCGGGTTGTAGACTGAGACATGGGCAGCTCTCCATATCGGGCTCGCATGTCGTCGGTCTCCTTGGCCGCGGCCTCTTCAAGTCGTTGTTTCAACCTCTCCTCTGATTCCTCCTGGCTACTCTCCATGCTCATTCGGGCCCTAATCTCCTTCTTCTTCTGTTTCCTCTCCAGCCTTCTAGCTGCATTTTTGCTTGTGCCATCGTCGAGGTCATCGCTGTCGGTCTCGCTGTCAGAGGTGCCAGACGAATAGTCGGATTTGCGATCGAATCGGTGGAGTATTGCAGCTATTGAGCCTCTTTTGGTAGTCCCTGTAGGGCTGGTGATGCCGTTTGCGCTGTCTCCTGTTGGTGTACGATGTCCGCTTGAAGATCGCTTCTTGTCATCATGCGACAGGGCGGTCGAGATTCTCTTGAAGGCTGACATGCTGTGACTTTCTAGCCCGCAAGGAGAAGCCTTTCAAAGCAAGACAGGTTGGGCCGTAAGTTGTACCGCGTTGAAGCAGATGGGCAGGTCAAACCTTGCTGTACCTCGCGCGGAAAACAGACGAACTGAATGCCGGCAGCGGTTGACACACAGTTTTTGAGCTCCTTCCCAACAACGTCGCTACTTGAATCAAGCGCGCTGGAGCTTATGAACAGAACGATAGGTTTGGATTGAAGCGACGAGAAAGGTAAGAAGAGGAGAAAGTCAGATAGAGGTTGTGAGATACGGTGGGCTGTCTAGTAAAGTAGCTGGCGTATTAATCAGACACTCGCACCTCAAAGCTTGTCCACATGCTACAGCTCGTCCTTGTTAGCAATATCACACGCTGAAATAGTACGCATACTTCCGGCTAAGCTTACACACAAGTTGTCTTGCACCATACAGTAGTCCTCGTGAATCGCGTCTCTAGCGGGCCGCCGTTTTGGGTATTTTCTGTGAAGGACCCATGTGAGGGGTGTGAGGGGCAGCTTAAGCACTGTCGGCAAATCAATGCCCTGCGGCTTGTCCCTTAGCTCAACGCTTGAAGCACCCGTGGACTCTTTGGGGACATGACTTATTGGCGAAAGCTTACTCATCACCTTGGCGGGGTCACCTTTCACCTTCCAACAACAAGATGACAGGTACATGATTGGCCTTTTGTTATACTATAGGTCACAAGTGTGTCAGCAACTGCAGGATCACCGTGCACCGTACCTGGGTCATGGAGCAGCCATCTTTATGAACATGGGCGGCAGAAGTAGCACACTCGACAGTATTGCTGCAGCTCATATTGACGAGAGAGGTGAAGGACCTCGCGCGTCGTGAATCTGCAATGAAGAACGTTTTGAAGGGAAACAGAGAGATAGTTATGCAGAGTTCACGGGGACCTGATTGTGTGGGAAACGACTCGTAGGGGGAGAAAGGCGGCGAGGCGACAACAATGTTTTCAGCAATGAACAAAGGTAAGTCCCATCCCGGACGCTCAACGTTGACTGTCACTTGGCCTCTATGTCGTATATTTATGCCTAGGGTAGTCATATCAATTGTCCGGGAAGAGATGAGGTAGTCAAGCATTCGCAATGATAATGAGGCGAGCTGGTGGGGACAGGTTAGGATAAGATAGTTACTTGTACTTACCTACTGTAAGCAGGCAAAATGGGCGAGTGATGCCTTAATACGCGTCCAGCGACACGCCTTTCAGGCCTTAAAGTACTCCCACCAACTCCGATTGGGTATAGATTGCGACCCGCGTGGCTGTATTTCTTAGCCAAGAAGTCAATTGCTCGGTTCATCAATCAATAGCTAATCACAACCATCACCCAGTCCACCTGCATCTTCCCTCCAATTGCAATCGCTTGTCCCTTGATCGAAGTCTCATGAGCAGTCCTCAACCACTTCGTCCTCTAGTTCTACATCCAGAGCTTCCGAAAAGGTGAAAGCGAGAGTGGCATCGATGCTATTAGTACAAAACCGTCACCTCCGTCTCATCGACCGCGCCGAACGACCACCGTAAATTGCGAGCTACATTTCCAAGAACTTCACCCGGTTCAGCTCGTGACCAGACGCTTGGTAGACGCAGCTATCTGCCGAAACTCACACAAATATGGCACAGCCAGATACGCGAGACTTTGGTGCTGAGGTTGAAGGCTTCGTGCCGCAGCCTGTCGAGCCTGTTGAATCTACCGAAAGCAGATCCTCGGAACAGCGCCCGCGGGTGAAGGTTGCCTTTCAAAATGTCTTCAAGAAGGACGACACAAGAGAAGACCCACCAGAGAACTTTCTCATGAATACCATGGCGATGCGGCCAAGGTCCATGTCGCATCATTTACAAAGCACCCAGGTGCCTTCGCGGAAGTGGCTGATCACGAAAGCGAGGTTCTGGCGGTCACTGATGACATTCGGTATGACTTTTCACGGATGGGCTCGTCCAGGTGCACCCAAGCAATCATTCATTCGCAAAATATCCACGGACACCATACCTATCGATCTCTATTTTTATGTTCCAAAAGACTATGAGCAGAAAAAGAAATACCAGCCAGAACACAGATACCCAATAGTGGTCAACTTCCACGGAGGAGGGTTCTGCATGGGCCATGCTACAGATGACAGATACTGGGCGCGAGTCATTCTAAAAGACACACCGGCTGTTTTCGTGTCAGTGAATTACAGAAGAGCGCCAGAACATCCATTTCCTCAGCCTGTGGATGACTGTGTAGAAGCTTTGCTCTATCTACAAACTCACGCAGAGGAGCTCCACCTAGACCCAGCTCAAATAGCCTTGTCGGGTTTCTCAGCAGGCGCCAATCTTGCATTTACCGTCCCTTTTCGTCTGACATATCAGTACGAAAGGCAGGCTTCAGAAGAGCATATCCCACTAGAGCCACAGAAAAGGACAGCAAGCAACTGGGTGCCGGATCCAGAATCTCCAGAAGAACCGGACATGACTAAACTCTCATCAACAGACAGAGCAGAGCAAGAAATGGGACTCCTTACGCCTCTACCCGATCCTAACAATACACCCACCACAAAACACAACTCCCCATGGTCATCAGCCACAGATCTCCACCAGACGCCCACCAACCGCTCCAATTACACCGCACAAAGCTCCCGCACAAATTTATTGAACCTGCCTGGCCCGCGCTCAGCCCTCCTCAGGACCATCACACAAGGATCACATTTCTCGCGCCTCAACAGATCGGATCAAAACCTCCCTTCATCATCCGGTTCATCCTCCCCAGAACGCGCCCCACGACTCCGTATAGTCTCAATCCTAGCCTGGTACCCCCTCCTCGACTGGACCTCCTCCCGCTCCGAAAAGAAGCGCGCGTCCCGCAACCCCGGCAAAACCCTCCCCGCAGTCTTCACCGATCTCTTCGATTTCTCGTATCTGCCCGCGCCGGACGTTGAAGGTCACCATTGTTCACCCTACGCCAGTCCAGCGTTAGCACCAGACCACATGATCGTCGATGGTTTACCGCAGCGGATACAGATGTGGCTGTGTGAATGGGATATGCTTCTTGCCGAAGGCGAGAGATTCAGCGAGAGGTTGAGTGGGCTCGGGAAGGATGTGAATGTTGAGACGATTCCTGGTGTGCCGCATGGGTGGGATAAGAGTCCGAATCCGTTTCGGGATCAGAAGAGGACGAATGAGTTGTATGAACGGTCGGCTGGGTATCTGAGGAGTGTGTTTGGGGCTGCGGACCGGAGGGCGACGGTCGGTGAGGGTATTGGTTTGGGTGGGTTGCGGTAGTCTTACTGTAGTTTTAGTCCTGAGCTCGAAATATCACGTTGAGAGCGACACGGATGTTCTTCCTTGGGCTCCTTGTTGTGCTATTCTACGGTCAAGCGTTGCATCGTAGCTGCGCTGTGCTCTTGGAGTAATGTCATACACTGGACGTTACAGCAGCAATGTTTACGGCGGGTAGGAAGGCGGGTGTAGGACGACCGTGTCCGGTGGGCACGGCAATGCGGTTTATGTTAGAGAACCCGTGCGCAGGGTCTATAGTGGTTCACGAGAAGGGGCTTACACGAGAGTATAGAAAGGCCGAGACACACGAATTATTAGTAATTTTCGTGTGAGCACTGCTTAGAGCAAATTGTCAGGACCCCTATAGTAGGTACATCCTACGCACGTCGAAATAGCATAGTACGGAGCTCTATGTCCATCGAATGAATTCATTGGTATTTTCTGATAGATTGTCTCAATGTCTGACGATAACCTAGGGGCAGGTCGTATCACGCTGGATGATTCGGTGCTCGATTTGTGGATATAGATGATAACATCCTACAAACCAAGTCGCTGCGCTGCGTGTGTCGCATCCTTGTCGCTTATTCACACACTGCTGGCTGAGCTCACCTTGTCCCACACCAGCTCCTGAACTGCATCGCCACGCTGCACCAGCATCTGGGAACACATGCTCTTCGTCCCTTATGCATGCTGATTCAGGCTCTCCTTTTCCGCGCTAGCCTGATCTGCTCAAAATGATTACCAGATTCGGACCTGCTTTCTCTCAGCCTTCCTTTGCCTCGCTCTGGTGGGTAGGTCCTTCTGATATTTCGCCCACCTGTTGCCCTGCCAGTGCCAATGCTTATATGCAGTATGCAGACATATGATTCCAACAAGCAGAACAGCCTGTTTCTTCCCATGGTCTTGGATAGTACAATGGTTAGTATATCACCCAGTCACGGTGATGATCGCGTGTTCGATTCCGCGTCCAAGAGTCTTTTTTGTTTATTCCCTTGCTTGCAGTGTCAATGCTTTTTCCCGTTTTGACGAGGTGTTTGATGTCTTGGTCCACAGTGTTTCTTGTGGTGCCATTAGGGTTTCTGATCTGTATTGCTTCGTGATCACTTTGCAGGAACTTCATGCTCTACCGTTCGAGATTGGCCTTATTTCGCCTCTAGACGCCTATCACTGAGGAGCATTCAGGTCAATCCACAGCCAAGGGTGACGCTGTGTGAGGCCAGCCTTCTCGCTCGGCGTCATTTCATTTCCACTTCTCTCGTTGAAGGAAGACTATGTCCGTTTTGTTGCCGCTTCTCGCAAGTGGACGGTCGAGACAGCGTTGCCAATCTTAATAAGGACTTCCCCGACAAACAGCTTGATGCCCGTTAGCCTCTGGTACGATTCCTCTCCAATGTTGACGGCTTCGTTGGCAGGTCTCGCCAAAGTCCAAGCAATGCTGATATGGAACATGTCGTTGGCATCGGCAGGGACGATGGCTTTGTCGCCTCCAAGCTGAGCAACAGGCTGCTGGGGGACGCCCACGCCATTGCCCCCTCTGTTGCCGTACAGTTCTGTAAGACCGAATCGTCGAGCCACACCGTTACATGTCGATAGTAAAGTCTGCAACTGGTCGTCTCCAGGCTTGGTCAAACTTAGAATGAGAAAATGACGAGTCTTGTCAAAGTTGCTGACCCAGCGGACGCCAGATGGCCTGATCTGAAAAGTACGAATACCTGCATTTTGTATTGCTTTGGTCAGTCCCTTTTCGAATTCATCTTTGGTGTCAGTGGTCAGCGTTAGCGGAGAAGATAGACTGATGTGAAGTGGCAGGCGAACACCAAGCTCGGACCGCAGCGAGCTCTCAAGCTTGTAGCTTGCACCCTTTGTCTCCGAGCCTGCCTGCAACTGGCTCGCTGCTTCCTTGATTACCTGGTCGAGGACAAGCAAATCGTCTTCTGCCGGCAGCCATTCGAGATAGACAAAGCTGGGCCAATTGCCTACAACGTGAGGAACTTGTCGCTGGCGGCCACCATGTAATGCGGGATCGTCACTCGTGCTTGTCCTTACCTGTGTAGCATACAAGGTATGAAAGTTGGCAGGCAGGGAAGGGGCAGGCTTCCCGATGCGTTGGGCAGGTTTATCGTCTCGCTCCTGCCTTTTTCTCTTCAGGGTTGCTTCGCCCGCGTGTTTCTTTCTAGTTTCAAGGCCCTTGATGGTTGTCTCTTTGGTTTGCTCGGCATCGTCTTCGGAATCGGAATAGCCTACCAAGGTCATGGCGATGTCATAGTTCTTCATCCTCGGACAGGGGGAGCCGGGGCAGACACGTGCTAGCCAAATTTAGCTGAAGCCAAAGTTGTACCTGCCAAGCAATCTTCAGGCAGAAAGAACAGCTGATCTGAACTCCTCAGGCATGATCTTCTGGTCCTTGCTGTTCTTTTCTACGGACCTCAAGCAAATACAGCGGCATCTGATCACAGGTCTTCGGACGTGCGAGGAAGCCAAATGTCTCGGACTCCATCAAATGACAAACTCAGCCTCAACATCCACTGCATGTGGAACTACGTTGCGCGGCCGCCGCCCAATCCTGTGGAGTGATGAGCTCAACCTTGAACAGCTCATCGCCGGGATGTCGGTTGTGCTATGATGTCAATGGCCTAACTTTCTGCACACACGTCGCAAGCTGCGTCGTCGCTAAGGTACGATAAGTGCACCAATTCTGGATCGTATTCTCTAGGCTTCGCATCATCAAGTGCTAACGGCTCTTCTGCTGCTTCGCATTGTTTCTACCTTTATGCTCACCATATAGGCCATTTTGACATCTTCGATAACCACAAAATTGTAGTCAGCGCTACATACGGCGCCAGGCTCAGTCCATACCCGTCAACATGTCTTCAATCGACAAGAACTGGGTACGCTCGCTCTCCCTAAGATGCCTCTAGACATCGACTGACTGATAGACAGGCACAGCAGTATATCAACGACCCATTAACAGCGCCCGATCCATCCGATGAGACCGGGTTGAACACACATTTCCGACCAGCCTCGGAGGCCTCGACTTCTGCGACGCCAATCACACCACAAAGCGAATCCCGGAGATTGAGCAGTAACAATCCATTCAGACAACAGCATGGCGTGGCTAAGGAGGCATCTGTAAGCTCAGCCGAGAAGACATACCCCTCACCACCTCCATCTGCATCACCACGACGCTCCCGCGGAAGTTCCGGAGGACACAGATCTGATTTCATGGGACAAAGCAGCCGTCCACGCCGATCATCCTCATTGAGGGAACGCTATCCGGGTGATCCGAGCGTTCGACCGCTCGAACAGCTTGCAAGAGAGAAGGCAGTGGCCGATAGGGCCCGTCACGCAACCAAGAAACACGCAATCAAACCAGACACAGTCGACAGCCTCGACGCCTCTGGTCTAGGCCAGTACCACCACGGAGGACCGTACGATGCGACACTTTACGCAAGGAACAATTCATACTACTCCTCCCCTGTCGCAGCCGTTGCCCAAAGCAACCAGGAGGCATTAAGAGCCACGCCTCACGAAAAGGTTGTCGATGCGGTCCAGCGACACCACCCGCTTGATGGCGTGGCCGCTTACCCGCCTGGCATGACGGATCGCAATGGCCACACATACAACTACAAGGAAGGCGATAACATGATGGTCGAGGAAAACGCAGGAGGCGGGCCATACAAGAGATGGGCTGGTTTGCAATACCACCCAGATGACATTAAGGGTAAGGGCGAGCCGAGCTATAGCATCGAGAAGGCGCTCAAGGAGCACTCACTTGAAGAGAAGAACGGTGGTGTCGAACTTCAAGACACCAACAGAAGACGCAGCGGTAGTAGCGCGTATAGGTCGGAAGCATTCGCGAATGACAATGACGAGGGCCTTGGCCGCAGAACCAGCTTAAGCAACAGGATCAAGAGGAGGGTGGGAAGCTTGCGAAAGAAATCTGAATAAACTTTTTGGAACCTACGAGGCACATATCAAGACACTTCTTGTACATTAGAGCTTGGCAGGGTTGGACAGTCATATATACGATGCATATAGTTTGGTCATAAGCACAAAACAAGGAAGTAACGTTCGCGCAACCTAGTCACTGACCAGTTTCGGCCGATACTCCATACACCCAGCTCCTACTTGAGGAGACGCACAGCAAAAACGCTCACAACGTACAGACAATTCTGAAGACTGGGGAGCTGGTCTTGCACCATGACAAGCTCTCCTCGACATTTTATGATTCTCTATAATCTCTCCCGTTCTTCAGTCCGCTCCATTGATCGTCAATCATTTCCTCATACACTTTTCGTCTTGCCTTGCCTGCAAATGCTCGCTCGCTGAAATGTACTCACATCGCGAAGTGCAACCAACCCCTCCAGCACCACCTCATCACTTGCCAAAGTTCAACCGAAACTTAAACTGAATCGCAAAAGCCGGATCACTAACACCCACCTCCTCCCCATCCCCCACCAACTCCCTCAGTTTCTTCCCCAAATTCGGCCGCGTCGACTCCTCCAATCCAGGCGGAAACCGCATATACAGACTCTTCCCCTCCGTCCTAATACTCGGCTTCTTGAGTTGTGCCTCCGCTCGTTCCGCTAACATCGCCAAGAAATCCTCCAATTTCATCTCTGGGTCAACTGTTATGTTCTGTGCGAGCTGGCCGCACACGGGACAGTCGTCTTTCTTCTCGGCTTCGAAGGTGTATGTGTAGAGACCCGTCTCGCTGTCGCCGGTGTACATCATGTAGTTTGTTAGAAAGGGGGCGCAGGAAGTCGCGAGCTTAAGAGCTTCATTCGTACATGCTGCTGCGACGATTGCGTTTGTGGATGCGATGGCGGGGATGATGTTTTTTACTACGCCTTGTGTCATCACGTATGTTACGCCGGATATATTGAATTCTTGGGCTCGGGCGAGCGCTTTCTGATAGAGCCAGGAGACGTGCTCTGGGTCGTCCATGTCGAGGGTGTCGTCTTTGCGTTGCTCGGGCCAGGCGATGATGTGGGCCCATTCGATGCAGTGTTGCGGCTGTCTGGGGATTGTAGCGAGTGTGCAGAGGGGGACTGCGGCGCGGGGAGCGTGCATGGAGAGTTGGCATTCGATGCAGGAGGATAGGGTGGGGAGGATGACTCGTGCTTGGCCTTTGAAGCCTTCTGTGCCGCCGTCGATTAGGGGTTTTAGGGACTCGGGATTGGTCTCGTCGACCATGTCGATTAGGGTTGAGTTTATCCAGCGGCGGGCTTCGATGGAGTCTAGACCGCAGATTATGAGCTTGAATTGCATGTAGTAATCTTCGTCTTTGTCTTGGATCTTGCCGTTGTAGGGGGTGATCTTTACGCCTGGAACTCGTTTTTCGACGAAGGCGGCAGCTACTTCTGCTTTGGATTTGCCGACGTCGGACTGACGGAAGAGGAACTGACGGTTCAGGTTGGAGACGTCGATGGTGTCCATGTCTATTACGTGGATATCCTTGAAACCAGATAGGGCGAGGTTCTTGAGAAGTTCACAGCCTAGACCGCCGGCGCCGATTACCAGGATCTTGGAACCTTCGAGTACTGAGACTGTTTCAGAGCCAGGAACGTAGTCTTCGTCGGCATAGGGTGAGGCAGTTGAGAGTATGGTGTCGAGATGGTGCCTAGAGTTGTTAGTCAAAACGCTTGCCTTTGCTTGAGGGGCGCGTACCATCTTGCTCTCGAGGCAGTTCCATTGGTCATCGTCTCCGTAGTCATCTTGCAGCCTTCAACAGTCTCCTTTCACCAGCCCCTCTACCACCACAAAGACAACCTTGGACGAAGTCGCCGTTCAACTCTAGGTCACGTGACGGTTCTCACGGGCTGTCTTATTAAGGCTTTGAGTTATGTGCTTCGGGCTCTTTGACCTGTCACGACAGGGTTAAGTGTCTATCAATTTGATATGCCTCTGATGACTATGAGAGGGAGAGCAAGAGCATAAGGTGGTGTTGTTGACGAGAACTTGAAGGAAGGAT